ACATGGAGGGGACCCTCTCTACGGAGGCCGCCATGTTTTTTACATGAGTCCAGACTGAACAAACTAAAACCTTTTGAGTTTTTATGACGACTGAAGCTGCCACAGGTTTATCTTCATGTTTGGAAGGAGAGGGGGAGGGGAGGGGTGTTCAGCTGCAACATGACACTTCAACACTAGATGTCACTAAATCTTACACACTGAACCTTTAAGATACTTGGATTAAAGTCACACAGACAGAAGAACGGACAACGTTATGTTCATACAGTGATGAGGGATGATGTAGCTCTTTAGCCTGCGGCGCAGAACTAGCTACTTGGTTCGTGTTGGTGTAAAGAGTCTATGAACAGGATGTGAAACGTTTGTCCTGAGGGGGGCGCTAGAGGGCAGGAACAGATAATAACATTTAATGATAACTTGACGTGTGGCTGCTGATCCACCTTAAACTCTGAAACTTGAACTCGGACCAGGTCATGAACGATTCTGTGTGTCTGCAGGTTTTTGTCGGCAGCTGAACGAGAGCAGGTCGGTCGACTCTGTAAACTTCTTATCGACAGCGGTAGAGTTCACTTCCTCACAACTAAAGGATTCAACAGCAAACTGAGTCGATACACAGACGCTCAGGTGACCCTGGAGAACGTTTTACTGACCGCCGTGCCCTCCCTACGTCCTCTGTCCTGAGGTCCAATTCAGGGATTGAGTTTGATTTCCAGTTTTTAATTTTCAGTCACATAAAATAAGGATCAAGACATTTTAAAATGTTACCTCGAAACTTTTTTGAGAAATGAGACTTACATGTTTTTGTGAAATCATGAGACTGAGTTTAATGTTTAATAAAGTTTCTGTTAAAGAATTTTCAGTTTCCTGTTTATACGTGTTGATACACACATCACAGGATCACAGCAGGAGAAGGTGAGAGTACATTACCATTGTGAAGTGTCAGCAGAGTTGAGTCTTTCAGCTCTCATCGTGACATTAAAACGCTGTTTTTATTTAAAAAGCTGAAGCAGAAGAAGCTCAGCGACACATCGAGTCTGAAGAATCATCTGCAATATTCAGAGAAGAAACGATTATTAGATACTTATCAGCTGATTATCAGTGATTTATAATCAAATCTGAAACAACCT